TTATCTCATCTGTGTATGTGTCTGCCTCTGAAGGTGAAGACCACAATATAAATGACTTTTGCATTGACATGTAGCACCTAAATCAGTGATAAGTTAGTAAGTGCTAGTGAGGAAATGTTTGCCATAATGAAGGAGGAATGCATTTTGAGAGGAGTGGTGATCAGTAGGGTCAGCTGTTAAGTTGATATCAAGGACAATAATGACAGTCCATGAAAGATGGTAGCAATTTTATATGAATTTTATAGTAAAGCAAGTATCAGTGACCTTTGAAATGCCTGTTTCAGCAGAGTCATAGACAAGAATCCCAGATTCTGAGGAGCAAGGGACTTCCAACATGATGAAGACTTGCAGGTTTTCTTGTAGAAACAGACTTTTCTTTGGGGAAGTAGCTAAGTGATCTTAGACCCATTATTAACTTTGCCTCATTGAGCCTGCAGTTTCTGAAAAGGTGGTATTTGTAATATTGTGTGCGTTTGTGTTTAAAGTAATGAAAGAGAGTGGTTTTATGGCTTGAAGTTGATATATAGATGTTCATTTCCATGACTCAACACCCCCCCTTTTAATTAATGCTGTTGAAAATTTCTGTAACCTTGTGTAAATTAGTGTATAATACAAAATTCTTAAAGGCAACTTCTCCTGTTCATTTGAGAAATTATGAAATGTATTTGGCCTGCAATTGATCTCTACTGTTATTCGAACCAATAAAGCTACGTGGTACGCAGTAGTGTGAGACGCTCCCCCAAAGATAGTTGTATTAGTTGTTGTTTGCTGATTAGTCAATTCTGGCTCACAGTGATCCTATAGGATAGATTCAAACTGCCACATCACAGATTTCTCCCTCAAAGGGGCTTCCCTGTTGGGTAATAAATGAGTGGTTAACTACTGCCTTACCCGGGCTGTTTGTTCTGTGAGTTAGGACTTCCAATTGATCATTAGAGAGGTGGGGAGTCTAGAAGAAATGTGAGAGGTTTTGTTGGCTTAATGTAAGTGAAAAGCTTAGGGATGGTAGCAATCTAGGTCATTACCAGACCTTGTAGATCAAACGATATTGTCAACCGTTGTTTTTTCCAGCGCATCCATGTTCTCCTCCCCTATGTTAGCTGCAGTCTTAGGTATCTGTAGAGATTCAGAGGAGAGAGAGTTTCTCAGTAGTTCTCACCAAAATACTGGATTCAGTCCCACTGTTCAGATTTTGTTCATGTGCCCATTCTTGAACCAGTGGTTGTGGCCAGTGGACTAGGGGTACATTGGTTTTCCAGGTCTGCTTGAAAAGATTCAGTTCTTTGAGGTCTTGATACCGAGAGCAGAGAAGGAGTGGCTATGGGAAAGGAAAATCAATGGCTGTTAATAGAATAAAGGAGAGTATCATCTTACTGTATGAAAGTGCCTCTGGTATAGGACATGTTAGTAGATGGTTCAGTTCATAAAATAAAAAAAGCAGATACCCTTCCTACTAAACTGCACCTTGATGAACAAGTTCTTATCTTACCATGTCCCCACTCCCTTTGATCTAAGTCACATTCTTAACCCCACTAAGTTCTAGATCCAGACATGAATACTTTTCAGTCAGACATATGGAGACCATGAAATTAAGCAGAAGTCTATTTCTCAGTTTCCAAATACTGTCGCACTCATATGATCATTACTTGCCCTTTGGTCCACCAAGGAAACATACCCACAAGTTGGTACAACTTGCTGTCGCCCTATGATCTGGCATTGATAAAGCAGAAAGTTTTGATAAACTCAAGAAATCTAACAGATCGTAATTATAGCTGACATGTTCATTCTAAAATTTGCGATTGACATCTGTACATTTCAGAATGAAATTGTCCTATTACTCAGTCCTTTCTCTATGGCTTACCTTCCTGATAATTGCAGCCTCAACACACTCCTATTTGCCTTTCCATTATTTTCTGTTGACTTTAAATATCTGGCCTAAGCTTTCATGCTGTATATGAGGTATTTACACAGTACTCTCTAAATATGGCTTCTTGTTCTGACTCATAGTGATCCCATATAGGGTTTCCAAGGAGGCACTGGTGGTTTTGAACTGCCAGCCTTGTGGTTAGCAATCCAGTGCTTATCCAAAAGCGCTACACCAGAACTCAAAATCTTATTGGACACCTGCTTTTCCATAATAAAGTTTTATTTGTTTGTCTTGCCCATGGCTACTTTCCAGCTACCTTAGCATAGAGGAGTAATTGTTTAAAACTAAGTATCCCTCCAGGCATAAAGTACTTACTGTCTGGCCATTTCATGATAAAGTTAGCAATCCTCATTATGTGAAGAATAACAGTATTTCCACTCATTGTATAGAGTGCTCCTGAAGAAGACTTAGACTTACAATCATGCTCTCACTCGCTGGTGTTGGACAAAGCAGATTTAGGGAAATGTTTACTCTGGATTCCACCCTGGCTTTTTCAGTTCTCGGAACCCTTGCTTTTTATTTATTTATGCACCCCTAGCAGCCTTCTGCATCTTTTAAAACTGTCCTTTTAAAAGAAGTGGATGATTGGCGGACCACAGCTTTGTACCCAGCCCTTGAACACATTTGTAGGCAGATTTGCCTAGGTTCAATGCAGGAGTTAAAAAGTGCAAAAATATTGCATAAAAATCACGATATGGTGTCATTTAATTTCCCTGTCACTGAACTCTCTGACGTTCATTTATTGTGGACATAGTACATTTTGTGTAGTGTTTGAGATGGTGCCATGAGTGTTCTTGATGGGAAACGGGAGGAGGAGCTGAGTTTAGCTGTTGGATTTCCCCTGCTGTCACTTTATTCTGTAAGAGCAGCCCCTCTGCAGAAAGCTTCCTAGTGAAGCTGTACATGAAGAAGAACAGGGGTGAGGTAATATCCCTCTCCTGCTTTCCTGAAGTCTAAATACCCTGTGGAGTGAGGGAAGACTTCAATCCTTAGGCTGGTGGATTCCTTATCTTTCCCAAACGTTAAATTAATTTTTAAGGCTATTTATTCAAAGTTGACTTAACCACTAGAATAGAAAAGATCAGACAAATCAGCTGCAAGAAATGAAGTATGAGGAAACCCGAACTCTTTGACAAAGTATTCCTGGGAGTAAATGTGTTGAATGAAGCCAGCGGGTATATGATAAGAGCCTTTACACTGTGGATTTAAGAAAGCAATTTATCAAGAGTACATGAACTCTCTAGTGACCAGCAGTCAGGAGGAAACCAGAGCTGAGGAGGAGCCCTGCAAAAATACATTTGAAATACTTAAAAAAAAAACCACACACAACTGTAAGTGAGCTCTTTTAAATATCGACATTATCATACAAAAAATACTGGCGTATTAAACTTGGAGTTGCTTAAAGTGTACCTGTACTGTAGACTGTACTATTATGGGATAAAGTTTTAGGGACAGTGATTGAGAAATGATTTGGAACTTGCAAGAAATCTTAGGTGTATCTCAGGTTTAGTTATAATTTGAGTCTGGCTTTTGTTGTCTGATAGTCAGTTCCCCTGACTCTTGACATTAGATGAACATCTTTTAGGTTCAGATATTTTATCTTTTTTAATCTCTAGACTAGCATATGTGCTTAATTCTGACAGTTAATTAATGTCTTGTACGTTCTGTTAAGGAGTCTAAAGCACATTCATTCATTATCTCAGTAATCTTTGGAGCAACTTTTTGATGAGACAATGCTAAATATTGTTTGCTTAAGAGAAAGTGAGGTAAATTATTATAAGATTCTCACTAACTCAGATATGGATGGGAATAGAACTTGTGACCCTGTCATGGCTTCCAGTTCTAGGGCAAAGGTGTGATTTTCTACATGAGATTTAGCTGAAGGGCTCAGCTGTTGACATGTGAATTTCATGAAAGCTGTTTTACCTAGAGAATGGTCAGTCTTCAAATATCAACTAGCATTTAGTATAAATACACAGAAATCCCCAACTTTTTGCTTAGTAATTTTTTCCCCCCCATTTTCATCATCTGATAACACACTTTTGTTTAGGGTGTTTACAAAGTGTCTAAATTATGACTTAAATCTCTTTCTCCTTTTTGAACAATTTCCAGAGATAACATGCCAGTGAATAAGACACTGTTTTACAAGTGAGCAGCATGGGAGACAATTGAGACTGTAAAGAAGGTCTCAGATAATCTCCCTTAGCTAATTCAACCTGAGTTACGTTCCCCCCCCCCCCCCCCCACAGGTTGTCAGCTTACCCTACTTCCTCTAAATTGACCCTTTTACACCCAGAGTCTGAGGAACTCCACTAGCACAGTAGTAAAATCCTCAGCTGCCCACCAAAAATTTGGCATCTCAAACCCTGCCAGACAGCCCTGGTGATCTGCTCCATTTAACATTATGGCCCAAGAAACGCTACACGATACAAGGTACTTCTACTCAGTCATACTACAGGTCAGAATCGACCGGAGGTCACACAGAAACAACCACCCTAACGAACCTCCTTTGTCTCTGTAAATTGAAGGGTGAGCTTTATGGGTGAATCCTCTACTGATTGACCCAGCTCCCACAGTTCAAGTTGTGGATTTTGTTTTGGGTAGAAAGAACTTGGATTGGCCATAGTTCAATTAGCAAATTAACTAGGTTCTTAGAGCCAGCCGCAGTCAGTAAAAAAACATCCTTAGTGGTTCTGTTTCTGAATGGTGAATGTGTTTTGTGTTTGCTCTAGTCTGCAATTTATAAACATTGAATCCTCCCCAAAATGGGTAAAACAGAGAGTGGGACAGGGAAGAGAACTATGCCATTTTAAAAACCAGTTTAAACATCTGTGGTCATCCTCAATCAGCAACTGAGCTGTAATGTCAGACTGCAAAGTTATTTGAACTGTAAGATTGGTGGTTCAGGCTCACCAGCCGCTCCTTAGAAACCCTCTACCGGGTTGCTATGGGTTGGAATCGACTTGATGGCACTTAACAACACTTACAAGTAACTTGTTTCGTTTTCTTCTGATTCTGTCTCCCCGCACCCCCTCGATTCCTGCATCCCCTGGATCTTGGTGGGACCACACAGCCTTGGATAAACTCAGCACGCAGCACTTGTACCATCCCACCCAAGTGGAGATCGTGCAGTCCAACGTGGTGTTCGACATCAGCAGTTTGATGCTCTATGGGACACAGGCCGTTCCCGTGCGGCTGAAGATCCTGCTGGACCGTCTCTTCAGCGTCCTGAAGCAGGAGGAGGTGTTGCACATACTGCATGGCCTGGGCTGGACTCTTCGGGACTACGTGCGGGGATACATCCTTCAGGTAGGGCGAGGACACTGAATGCTGGGGTGTGGAGCCAGCTCTGGATAGGGTTGGGTGAAAGCCCTTGGCAAACCCAGTCTCATTCCTGCCCCTTGCACACACAGATATACATACCCTCTTCTGGTTAAGTGGTCATAGCCACAAGTTTCCATGGAGAACTAGAGAAAAGGACAGATATCCCACCAAGCCAGCATGGAGCCTCTGTGGAGTGGATTAGGAGGGAAAAGTGGCCTGTTGGAAAATGATTCATGTTTCTACATATTTGAATTCAACTTTCTCTCTCTACAAGGTTGGCTTTCTGGCTTCTCCAGCAAGCCTTACTGTGGCCCTCCTAAAAGCAAGGGCTCTTTGAGCTGAGAGTCAGGGGTGTGAAGAGCTGAGATGAAGCTCCCTCTGGGTTTATTAGTTAGTTTCCTCGTTTTCTGTATCCCCTCACCATTGATTGCTTCTTCCTCCTAATCAGAGGGAAAAGTGTAACTAATCCAAACTCCTGCTTTTATTACCTGTAAGCCTTCCAATTACAGCCTCAGAGTTCTGTATTCCAGGGCAGACAGACATGGCTATGGGTGGGCCTTGACAACACCTGTTTGTGCAGATCAAGCTCCTCCTGTCTGTCACTGGTACTTATGATCTGGTAAGGGTTACGACTTTCTCAGGGGACCCAGTCTTCCCCAGCCCCTCTTGCATCATATTCCCATTTTTGCAGTATAGCTTGAGTCATTTTACATTGTGTCTTTTGCTGGTGAAATGTTTTTCTGGTTGCCTGTCTTGTGTTGGAAAACCCCAAGATCTAAAAAGACTCTGAGGAAATCTCTCCCCTCCCACCAAAGGAGATTACCACTTCAGGAGCTAGAATCTGAAGTAAATTTTATGAAAATGGAGAAAACTCTCATTGTTGTTGTCTCTCAGCATTAAGTAGTTCTAGTTAACCCAGCCCTAAGGTTTATGTCCCCAAGGTGAGCCTGTGCTGTGTGGAGAGCTTGTGCCCCCGGCATCTCCCCTGCAGTTCTCGCCCCCCTCTTTAAACCTGGAAACGCACACACCCATTCCTGCCATTCTTTGCAGCACCTCCGGAAAGTGCACCTGTGCTACCCAGGGCAGGAAAGCTGTAAGAATGGTAAGGTAAAGTAAAAGTGGGGGAGATAAACTAGTCTGTGCCCTCCATGACTAATTTGATTTGGTATAGACTCTTTTCATTTCTTGAAGTGTCAACTTGGAAAGAAGGCACAGGAAACTTGGCCCTTGGAAGATGAGATGGTGATGGTAATAGTAATAATTATATATTGCGTTTTCAGTTTACAGAGCTCATTTACAGGCATTATCTCATTTGCCTCAGGATTGGGCTGTGTCAGTGGGGTGAGTGGGAAGATAAGTCCTGGGTGGTCAGGGATGTCCTGGTGGGAGCAGAAGATCTAGGAGGTGTAGGGGCCAGGAAAATAAAGCGGGGGCCACTTTCACAATTCCTGTGTAGGCTGGCGCCCAGACGCATGCAGAGCCATATTCTCTGCAGTCAGGGCCACAACATGATTATTATCATCCATGTTGGATGGATTTTATCCTAACAAAGGACTAAACCACTTGCAGATTACTGAATGGAGTTATTAGTTTGGTTAAGCACACTTTCCTATATTAAAAACTAACAAGTGTTTTGTGCCAGTTCAGTACATTCTTTACTTCCCATTCTGTGATGTTTTACTTCCTGTTCCATCATCTATGTTGTATTTCACTTCTCTGTGTACAGTTTTTATCTCTGGTACCTGGAGCAGATGCATTGTCTGTTTCTGTCCAAACAAAGAGATGTGTGCATGACTATGCTGACTTAACAACCCCACTCACTGGTGCCTTTTGACAGCAGTAAACACAACCTGCTGGATAATCTGAGTTAAAATCCTATCTTTTGCTTTGACCGATGCCTACTCTTTATTTTATTTGCAATAATAGTTACATGTTAATTTCCCAACATTCTAATAGCTCCAAGATAGTATAGTATGTGTTCGCTTTTAGACTATACCCTGTTCATAATCAGTTCTTTTCTGTTTCCTTTTCTATGATGGCCATGCATCTAAAGATACAGAACTGCAAGAAAAATAAGTATGAAAGGAAAATTCAGCACAATCACCTACTAAAATGATAGTCTCTTATTTAGGGGTGAGATACTACTTATAAAGAACCTTATCATTCATCATGCTACTTAAATTATAATTCATTTTCATTAATTTAATAGGGTTTTGATGAAGTCTCACTTTAAAAGATGTAGCTTATAATTTGTTACCCCATTCAGAGTATAGAATTGACATTTTGAGAAAAATCATGGATGAATTTTACATTAGAGGAATTCTAGGTTTAGTTTGTCTTGTTTTATTGATAGGATTGATGTGATATAGATTTTATTTAAATGATTCTTATTGTCATTCAGCATTTATCATCTACTTGTTTCTTGTGAAAACAGTTTTGCTTAGAAAAATGAGAGATTGAAGGACGTAAGATAGGTCTTAGAGAAAATGTCCATTAAATCAACAAAACAAAAGAGCTGCTATAGAAACAAATGCTTATTTTCTAAAACAGTATCAGCAGATTATTGGTTACTATTTTTTTTATTATGCGTAGTAATGATAGGCATGCAGAAAGGACTTTGAATTTAATTATATATAGCATTTTTCTACAAGTTGACGATCAAGTGTGCCTCTGAAGGTTGTGGGACTCTGTGATGCAGTATTAGAGCAGCAGTCATTTCATCTGGCAAAAACTCAATTGTTTTGTAGCCCTCAAGGCATCAATTTTAGCATTATTGCTCTCAACAACAGTATATTGAATATTATGTCAGTTAAAGGAGAATAATTATCAAGGCAAGTTAGGGTGGCTGTTAGTCTTACCACATATTGACTTGGTTAGCAGTTGACTATAGATTGTGTTACTGGGCAAATGAAGATGTACGGTAAGTTGAACTGGTCAAGCCAGCATATTAATTTAACTCTCTGTGGGTTCAAACCTGCATCCCTTATGTGTACACAGTTATTCCTGGCTTCAGAGACAGTTCAGAATGTAGAACAACAGCAGGTGTCTGACCAGATTTTAAATGGGGTGAGAAGCTGGCCATTTGAAAGGATGCATGCCATCCATCAAGTATCCTGTATGTTTTGATAAAAAAAAAATGCATAGCATCATTTGAGCTAGGATCATTTAAGAATCCAAATGATATTCTTCAAAGATAAAGAATTTGATATTCCTCTATGTTTATTTTGCAGTACTCATTTAAAAGCACAGAAACTGCTAGATAAATATTAACCATTTTTCCCCCTACAAGGGGAAATATTCTATGAGATGCTAAAATGTAAACATAAGAGCACAATATGTCTTTTCTGCTGCTAATGAATAATTCTTATTTCAGTCTTTTTCTCCTGATACCTATTTTACAGCAAAATTCAGAGCCTTCCCATCCTTTCCCCAATATCGCTGTTTTTTTTGTTTGCTTGTTTATACCTATATAAGAATGTAAATGATAATCATTGTTGGATTTGATCATTTAAAAATTAAGTGTTTACGTAACCTCTCTGTGACTTGAACAAGTGTGTTACCTGGGCTTGTATACCAGCCAGGTTTTAGAAATCTCTTCCTTTATAAATGGGCCCTGCCAGAATTCAGAGAATCTTTTCAGACATTCTGAATAGTTAGCTGAGATCTCAGCAGCTTTGTGTGAGAGGCACATTTTCAGATGTCTGTGTCCTGAAACAGTCAGAACAATCAGTGTTTCTCAGCGTACTTTGGGAGTCCGAGTCTTTATATCTAGAATGCACTCCCTACTTTATATCTGGAATGATCTACATGCTGGATCTTCCTATTAGAGCTTCATGGTACATGCTAGCATAATAAAGACTGAGAAATTTTGGATAATGTGGTCTATGGAAGTAAGTAGGCAAGTAGCTCCCACCAACTTCTCCCACTATCTAAGCTTCTCCTGTCAGGGTCAACAGAAGTTTGTGGCTCTTGGGTCACACTCAGCTCTTCTCCAACATTAGGGCTTTGCACGTGAGGCTTTTTCCTGCCTGGTATATATATTCTCCTCTTTCTGCAAGGGTCCATCAAGTGTATACTAAAGTCCTCCTTTTTCGTGAAGGCGTTTCCTGATCAACTTAGCCACACATCTTTTCTGTTGTGGATCTGTCTCATAACTTGTATCCCTGAAGCTCTTATCACAGTTTAAAATCAATCTATTCATTAAATCAACTCTTAAATGTTTTTCCTGGCTTACTCACTAGTGAGAATGCCACAAAGGCAGGGCACTCTATAAATATTTGTGAAATGAATAAAGAAACCTGTTTTAACTTGATAAAGCCTAATGTTTCACCATGGAACTCATGGGACATTCAATAAACTTGGTTGACCAAAAGAATCCTTGGTGTTTCTACAGACTTTGAAGAAATGAATTCCTGTAGCACCAGCTCAATAGACAATGAGAAGAGATACAGAGACTCTTTTGCTCCCAAACTTGTGGTTTGTGTCTAATAAGTGTTTTGTGGTAATGTGGTAGAAAATGTCAATATTAAGCCAACATTTGTATTTAAATTATCTTTTGCCGAGCAGGTTCATGTGTGTTAGTACTGTGAATCTTCTTACTCTAGATTCTCTTGTAGATATTGACGTTGAATTAGCATATGGTGTAGTTGAGGTTAGTTTCTCTCCTAGGATTACGGAAGTTTTTAGTTTAATATTATACATTTCTTAAGATTGGTGTTTTTAGGTGCTGATAGATGTTGGTTGTGACACACAGTGACCTTGTGTACAGCAGAAGGAAACCCTGCCTGGTTCTGCACCCCCCTCACAGTCATTGCTCCAGCCACTATGTCAGGACATCTTGGTAAAGGTCTGCGTTTTTTCACTGACCCTCTACTTTTTAAATAAGACATTTTCTCCAGGGATTCGTCCCTCCTGATAACAAAGTATGTGAAGCAAAGACCCGCCACCCTCATAGCTAAGGAACATTCGGACTGTACTTTTTCTAA